GTGCCCACTGTCCCGGCCTCTCCTCATGCTCCCGCACCGTGCCCACTGTCCCGGCCTCTCCTCATGCTCCCGCACCGTGCCCACTGTCCCGGCCTTTCCTCACACACTCCCGCACCGTGCCCGCTGTCCCGGCCTCTCTTCACACGATCCCGCACCGTGCCCACTGTCCCTGACTCTCCTCATGCTCCCGCACCGTGCCCGCTGTCCCAGCCTCTCTCACGTGCTCTCTCCGCGTGCCCACTCACCTACCCTTCACCGCGTCTGACCCTGTCCAAGCACTCAGACTAGCTTCACCCACACCACCCTCAAAGTGGTGCTTTGTCACAAGCTCCTTGGCCCCATTTTGTTGTGTCTCCTTCACCACTCCTCGAGCTGACACCACTGGCTGCCTCTCCTACATGCAGCCTTATCTCATTCCCAAACTCCCAACCTCCATGGTTTTCCCCCAACCCAGGGACCACCTTGGGGCCATGAAAGCAGGTTACCAAGTCTGACTCATCCCCGTCATCATCGTCCTCTCCGCTGTCTGCTGACTCTGGCTCCTCTTCTGACTCGCCATCCATCTGACCAGCCGCAGCCAAGACGACAAATCAAACAGAAAACAAACACCAATTAGAGCTTTCGGTGGCAGATGATTTAATAAAGAAACAGATTTAAAAACCCGGCTGTCAACGCTGGAGGTGCACATGGACGGCTGCAGTCTGTCCTCTCTCCAGGCCTGGCACACAACCAGAACCACAGCAGAGACAGAAGCCTGTCCGGGGCGCACCCTACTGCTGCTCTCCACTGTGGGCCGTCAGACCCAGACACCTGCTCCTTCACTGCACTCTGTCCCATTGGGTCTGTGCTCTGGGCAGGTGGTCCTGGTGTACACCTCACTCAAGCTCATCAGCTGTGCCCTGAAGACCCAATTGCAAAAGTGGTATACTCCAGAAAAAAGCAACAAACCACACCACACAGTAAAATGATCGTCAGAACACACAGAGTAAACTCAAACACGGTGCCCCCGCCCGAGATCCACGGTCCAGCCCCCAAAGGACAACGGCTGCTGGCAGCATCCAGGCACACTGTTTCCCATCTGCACTCCACATGCCTGTCACTATCACTTTTCCCAGCGACCAACACTCAGAGTTCTTCCCTCAAGAGAACATCAGAGGCAGCTGCTTTGCCACTGAATTCATCTTTTTATCCACGCAGGTAAAACAATATGTAAAAACATTGTCAAGGCAAAGATCCTGAAACATAGGTGACTACCGCTCACGCTGCATCACTGCCGCAAGACAGGGAACGCTGGCTCTTCCTACACCCACATGGGACCAACATGCACGCCTTGTTATCTGGGTGCTCCGGACACCACGATGGGAACCATGTTGTTCATCACTCCCTGCAGCACCGAAGGGACATGTGTCCACTTGATGCTATGCTATAGACAAACGTGCTATTTTCTACAAGGAAAACCCCCAGATGTGGGGTTCCCAAGCCACAGGGGACATTCCAGAACTGTGACAAATGCTGCCAACACTCTCAAAGGTGTTGCCAGCCCGCTGACGGCGTCTCCCTGTTCGGGAATTGTCACACCCCCATTATACAAGGACTGCTATCCTCCGTAGCACCATTACACTTCTTTTACTGTCCTGACTGCAGTCCGTTTTTCTTCTGGGTTCAAGCTGCATTCACGCAGCCGCCGCCGCCCCCCCCTCCCCCGGCCAACCAGGATAATAGCCTTTTGTCTGTTAAGTATGTTATAACCACTTTCCCCTCCTCTCCTCTAAACTCTGCTCCTAACTCCTCTATCGAGAGCTCTGGAGGCCTAGTACCTAAGGCACGTGACTGCTACCCAGAAGCCTGGCCTTCTCCTTTGTGCGCTGGGTCTGTGCCAACACCGGAAGGACTTCTTCGCTCAACGTGGGAACAATCTTCTGCATCTTAATCCACAGTTCAGCATTCTGTGAGGACACTGCAATCATGAGGGACCTCCTTCTTCACAGAGCTGTGCCAAGATTCAATCACGTGCCACAGGCCCACCCTTTGAAAGCAAACCACTGGGCAAGTTTGGCAATAGCAGAGCTAGGCAGCCATCTCCACCACCTAACTCTAGAATGGAGCTGACTTTTGTATGCAGTGTGAGGCAACAGTCCACGTCTAATTTTTCCCAGAAGATGAGTCAATAATCCCAATAGCACTGGTTGAAAAGTTCACCGGCCCTTGACCACAGAGTGAAAGGAACCGTACTCCTACCATAAACACTGTCCTCACGAACAGAGAAGTCTGTGCGCCACCCCTGTCCCACTCTGAACTCACTTTCCACTCCGCACACATCTGTCCCCCTTTAGTTACTTCCTAGCACTGAAGCTGAGACCAGTCCTTAGCCAATGCTCTTGCTTTGAAAAACCCCGTGACTCTTCAGTAACCCCAGATCCCACACAAATTTAGAAACGGCAGTTCTGTAAAAAGTCTGGTAGGATTTTGCTGGAAACTATTTTGAATTTATGGATAAATCGGGGATAACAAACAATGGGCCTTTTCATTCCAACAAATGGTGGTTCTTCCCATGAACTTTTCTATCTTTAACTCTCTCAGTAAAGCTGCATAGCTTTCCTCTGTAGGTAAGAGACGTGTCTTGTACACTGGTGATATTAAGGAATACAGCTAATTTTCTTAGGTCATAGTGTAACTTTGTTTTTTAGAGTCCTTACCTTTTAACAATATAGTCCAGGTGTGGATGGAACAGGACTTCCCAAGTGTCATTAACTGCTTGCTACGCTCTTTTCTGTACATTTGTATAATTTGACTTTTCTATTAAAAAGAAGTTAAAAATATAGGTAGGCATTTCTTGATTCCATCTATGCTTTTGTTGCTACTTTTTCTGAATGGTTTAAACAATACTACAAGAACGTGCGTAATCTTACACTTGATCACAGGTGAGTCACCTCATGAGCTGTCACAGTTCTTCAGTTGACTTTTAGATAGTTGATTTTTAGATAGATGATTTCCTTCTCAGCAAGTACTTCTCTCATACCCTTTCAAATGTGAACACTTCTCTTTTACTATCTCTCTTATGCACAAGACCACCAACCCTGCAATGTTAGTGTCTGGGTGAAGCAATGATCGATCCCTTTTTGTTACTAGTATTAGAAACGCTTTTGAGTATATCACCATCAAAAGTAAATTTCTGAGAGGATTATGATACCTTTATGTTCAGTGCTTATGAGTTTTCATTTCACGGGGTAGTTTCTTATATTAAACAAGACTAAACAATGAAACTCCCTATTAAAAATGGCAGACAAACACCGTTAACTCCATGTCCTTCTGAAATTCCCATAAGGAGACTGTAAAGGAGGGAAAGAGGGTTACTCTCCAAAGCGTCACTTTATAACTGTATGTATGACAGCTACAAGTAATAAAGCATAAATTGAAACGTCCCAAGGAACCTGAAAACGGAAGAAAGATAACACTGGCATTTTAAGGAAAACACAGGAAGTAGAGCCTGGCACGGCTGAACTGAGAAAGTAGAACCTCAGCGAACCAGGGAGAGAGGGGTGAAGGAGCTGCAAGGAGGGGCTGTTTCCTGAGTGCCCTCAGCAGGTGGGATGAGGCCGGCAGACGCAAAGTCGTCCCCACCCGGCCTCCCGTAAGCCCACAGGTCCCTGGCCTGGCAGGGATGACTGGACGCCAGCCCAACTGTGGGCTTTGAGCTAAGGGAGAACCCAGCCCTGCTCAAAATGAGCCCCTCTGCCCACTGCCATGTGACAAGTCCTTGACTGGCTTCAACTCTGAAGGAGCAGAGAAGCAGGAGTGACCACCTGATTAAAAACGCAGGCCACCATGTGGTGGAAGACACCAGGCTAGCTGCATATCTCTAACAAGGTCTCATTTCCAGAGTAAGACCATCTACAGAATGTAAACAAGGGCACGAACCGAAAAGCCCACTGCCACTGACTGGACTGTGACTCACAGCGCCTCTAGAGGACACAGCAGAACTGCCAACAAGGAAACCTGTGGGCTGTCAGTCTTCACAGAAGCGAAGCCCAAACCACACCCACTGCCGTGGGGTCGATTCCAACTCATAGCGTCCCTACAAGACAGAACAGAACTTGCCTACAGGGTCTAAGGCTATAAATCTTTACAGAAGCAAAGCCCAAACCAAACCTACTGCTATGGAGTCCATGCCCACTCACAGCTTTCCTACAGGACAGAACAGAACTGCTCCATAGGGTTTCTAAGGCTGTCAATCCTTATGGAAGTCGACTGCCACGTCTTTCTCCTGCAGAGCAGCTGGGGGGTTTGAACTGCCAACCTTCTGGTTAGCTGCTGAGTGCCTTACCCAGAGTGCCACGAGAGCTCCTTCTTAGTCAGCAGGGAGATGCCAATCAGAACTGCAATGAGACAATCACTGCACATTGACAAGGATGGTTATGATCAGAGCAAGGGGAACCGCTGTCAGCAAGGTTGCAGACAAACTGGAACTCTCCCCTCTGCTGATGGCACCGAGGAAGGGGACCATGTTCATCGCAGCCTTCCTCACAAGAGCCAAAGGACAACAGCAACCCGAGTGCCCATCAAAAGATCAAAGGAGAAATACAGAGCAGTACACACATACAACGGGCTATCAGTCTGCTAAGAGCAAGGAGTCAGTCCCAAAAGGACAGATCCGGCACGAGCCTTCTTGTAGGAGATACCTGAACAGGCAGGTGTACAGAGACCCGAGCTGATGCGTGGTTACCAGGAGAAGCAGGGAGGGCAAAACGGGCCATCACTGCCCGGGGTACTGAACTTCTGTGAAGGGTGACAGACACATGGAAATGGGTAAGGGTGATGGCTGGACCGTTAAGATGCAACTCACATCACTGAAGTGTATGTGTAAAAAGTGTGGAAATGGCAAAATATGCTGTACATGTACTCATCAACTTAGAAACAAACAAAAAATACCCCTAACTTGCAAAAACTGCCACCTGGAGACCATCTGCTGTCCAGCGACAGTGGAGTGGCTACACACACCGCACTGACACCTGTGAAGCACAGACACGCTGCAGACACTGCAGAACCTCACCCTCTCCTTTAAGCTGCTGGTCTCCTCAACTCTGTGCACACACTTCTCCGTCATGGATCCACCTCTTCTTGGAATAAGCTCTACTGGATTCTTTCTGAGATTTTAAAACATGCATCCGCCTGGTGAGGCTCTGATCCAGCATTTCTGTATTTAGAACTCTCCGTGCACTGAGGCTGCAGTGGGAATGTCCTAAGTGGCCTAGTGTACTTTTCCCATCTTTCTCGAGTCTCTGGAAGGGTCTCCACACGGCCTCCACTAGTGTTTATTACTATGACACATCTGCTGAGATCGGGCTCCCCAATGACCACATTCTTTCCTCGATTCTACTTCTATTTGATTCTTGATTCCTTTGTTGACCGGATAGTCACTGAAATGTGAACTAACAATCAACACCCGGGGTAGTTTAGTAAACAGAGAATCCACAGGGGCTCAAGTTCATATGCCCCTGGGGCAGAGACCAAGGTGGCATTTTAAGTCAGCAGGGGAATGGGAGGACGTAAAAGATGTTGGGAC